TGGAACTCAGGGGGCAGGGTTTTCTTTCTGCATTTTACAGATGGTGAGATGGGCATGGAGAGGACAGGTGGGTGTGGACCTGGAGCACCCAGGCCAGGCCTCTCCCCACCAGACATGCCCGCTTCGGGTCTGCAGCTGAGCCTCTCCGCCCTGCCCCAGGGCGAGCTGGGACCCCAGGACTGGGAAGGCTGGGGATGCCAGCCGGGGGCAGTTTCATGTCAGGGGCAGTTTACAGGGGCCAGGGGAAGGGCAGGGGTATCCAGGGAGCCCAGCCTGGGGCTTTCCCTGTGGGGCCCCCCCTTAGCTGGGCATCGCTGCGGGGCACAGCAGGCCCCTGGCTTCCTGACCCAGCTGGCGAGGCGGCCAAGGGACTTCCCCTGGGACAGGCCCTGTAAGAGGAGGTGAGGGGGCACCCTGAGAGGTCCTCCTCCTCCTCACCAGTTCTCCGAGCCTCACTTTGTCTGTCTGCAGAATGGGGCAGTCACGTTCCATGCCTCACAGGGCCGCTGCAGGGGTTGGGTGGGTTTGTGTGCAGGAGCGCATCAGCATGCTGCAGGCCCCCTGTTCCCTCCCTCTGTTGATGCTTCATTCAGACTGCACATCCCCAGAGGAGGCCTGCTAACCAAGTGGCTTTGCCTCGCTCAACCTCAGTTTCCCCTTTTGCACCTCCTTGTCAGTACTGAAGTACATGAGCAGCCCCTGAGGGGACAGAGCAGAGCCCCTGGCCCTGGGCGTGTGTGGTGGATGCCGGGTGGATGTGAGCTCTGGGGGCAGGGTGTCTGATTTTCCACTCTAGCTCGCCCACGAGGGGCCACAGGAGAGGGCACAGAGGTCTGAAGGCTGTCCTGCCCGGTGGCCAGGCCGTCCAGGTCTCCTCCACGTCTCCATGTGGGGCAGGCAGTGTCTTCCCAATCGTAAGTCGGTTTCGGTGCCACCAAAGAGCAGTGGCCGTGTGGGGCCAGGAAGCCTGCCCCCGAGGGTGCTCTGGGGCCTCATGGCTCAGACGTGGGGTCTTGGCTCTCAGGGCCGGCCCTGCCTCTCACGTCCGGGATCCCCGTGCTGGGACAGGCCTTTTGAAGGCGAATGACAGATGACAGTGGACGGCAGGCCCTGCGAGGCTGGTGGGGGGCGGCTGGGCACAGAGCCTGTGTGTTCTTGCTAATCTGATTTCAGCCTGATGAGTGGGCGGGACAGAGGGGGTCAGGAGTCCACTGCGCGGGCAGCCCATCTTTTGGTGCAGTGGCTAGGGCCCTCCCCGTGGGCTGGGGCTGGGGGAGCAGCGGGTGGGTGGTGCCCTGAACAAACACAGTGGGGGCCTTCTCCACTCTGGGCCGCTTGTCGCTTGTCAGGGGGCCAGTTTTCCGGGGACAGACCCTTATTGTGGCCACTTAGCCTGACTTCTGGGGCTGAGCGTTCGTCTCTAGATGCTGGTGAAGCTGTGACTGTCCCTCATAGAGGGCCTGGGGGTGCCGAGCAAAGAGAAGAAGGCCACTCGCCCCTATGGCCACAGGGACACGGCCCGTGGCCTGGCCTTCTCTGGCCACAGCACAAAGATGGGCAGCTTCCAGCCTGGCACTGGCCACTGTCTGGACCCTCCCTCGCCTGCTGTCCCTCAGCCTGTGGCTGGGATGTGCCCCCGGCATCCTCTCCTCATCTTGCCCTTGGGAGTCTCTCTCCCAGAGTCGAAGCCGTCCCTGCTGTGAGCGAGGGACCGTGAGCCTCTGACCGGCCAGGCCTCGGCCCCATGCCCTCCTGAGCCCGGGGGTGGTGGGGAGGGAGAGGCCAGCGGTCAGGCGAGTGGACGCGAGCGGCAGAAACAGCAGGCCTGCTGCCCCCGCTGAGTGCAAAGAGGAAGGGGCCAGGAGTCCGGACACAGGGCCGGCCCTTCCTTGCTCTGCCCCTCTCCGTGTCCGGCCACTCCCCTAATTGTACAGCGGTGCGGCGGGTGGAGTGCCCGTGAATCTCATCACCCAGGGCGGGCCACCTGTGAGAGGGCAAGGGACACTGGTGCTCGGCGCAGCGGACAGTAGGAGTGGCCCGGGACACGCGACGCCTGTCCTCTCAAAGGACCTTCACTGTTCCACACCGGATGTGGGTTCCAGTCTTGGCTCCACCCCCTTCTGCTGGGGAGCCTCAGTTTCCTCTCCTGAGAAATGGGCTGAATGATTGGAGGGTGGGGAGTAAAGGCATCCTGTGGCAGAGCGGCAGAGCGGCAGAGCCGGCCGGGTGCTCGGGACGCTCTCCGTGGAGGATGCCGCCCGCTCTCGCTGTGGGGCCCAGTTCCGCCCTGTCCCTCTCCCCGGGGTCTGAACCTGTCTGTGTGCTGCAGTTTTCCCAGGGCCAGCCTTTCTTGGCCGTGAGCTGCGCAGGGCTTGGTCCTGGAAGGTTGGGGCCCCCGCGGCTGCCGTGGGGAGGGGCCAGGCAGGCAGACGCTGTGCCCGCAGGGCAAGGGGCGCCTGCTCGTCCTGAGCCTCGAAAGGAAGCCTGGCCTCGCCGGCTGCGATTATGGTTAGGAGCCGTGTAATTAACTCTAAAAATGGGAGGCTGAGGAGGACATAATGTGGATGCTCAGTGGAGATTGGAGCCAGGCGATGCTCAGACAGCCGTGGAGCTGGGCTGAGGCTGCAGGGTGGGCGGGAGCTGGGCTGAGACCAGCAGGGACCCGGGGGGTGCAGGCTGGGGTGGCCTGTTGCTGGCCCACAGACTGGGGGGCTTAAAGCAGAGGAAGCGTATCCTCACGGTTCTGGAGGCTGGATGCTCGGTCAAGGGGTGTGCCGGGCTCTCTCTCTGGGCCCGTCCCCTCTTCTGGTGGTTTGCTGGCCATCGCTGGCCTTCTTTGGTGCACGGGAGTGCCCCCGGATCTCTGCCCCCACCAGCACATGGCCTTCCTGTTGGGTCTCTTTTTCCGTTGCTCTTTTTTTAGTTAATTTTTATTGCAGTAAAATCAGGATACACGACATTTACTTTTTTGTGGGGGAGGGGCAGAGGGCGAGAGAGAATCTCAAGCAGACTCCCCACTGAACGTGGAGCCTGATGTGGGGCTTGATCCCCCAACCCTGAGAGCATGACCCTGAGCCAATGCCAGGAGTCAGCCGCTTAACCCATTGTACCACCCAGGGGCCCCCAAAATTTACCAGCACTAAGCATTTTTAATACACATACAATTCGGTAGCATTAGGTGCCTTCACGGTGTTAGGTCACGATCACCTCTGTCACTTCTAGGACTTGTTCATCGTCCCAAACTGAAGCCGTCCCCAGGAGACACAGACTCCCCAGCCTCCCCTGCCGGCACCACTGTTTTGCCTGTCTCTGTGAGTTCAGCCTCGTGTAAGTGGGCTCCTACCGTGTCTGTCCTTTTGTGTCCATATGACCCAGAAGCTTCAGGTCACAGAGGACAAGACTGAGGAGCATTTGAGGCCCAAACCGGCAGCCGTAGCTCTTCAATTTAAGTTAATTAGAATAAAATTGACAATGTAGTGTTTCGGTTGGACTAGCCTCATCTCCAGCGCTCAGTGAGCACATGGGTCTTGTGACTACCCAGCTGGACAGCAGGTGCACAGAACGCATCCATCCTTCTGGAAAGTTCTGTGGGGGCATACAGTTGTAGGCTCATGGAGATGAAAGAGAAATGGCAAGAAACATCATTGGACCTGGGGCCAGAATGTGCTTTGCTGTCAGGACATCGTGGTTGTCCTTTGTTGAGGAAACGTGAGGAGGTACCATCTGTCGATGAGGATGTGTGGGATCCACGTTGATTTGCTGATGTGGGTGCTCTGATTGCGGAAGGGGAAGTCTTTGTTCTTAGGTGCACTCAGATGTTTGGGGGGGCAGGGGGTTCGCATCTGCGGTTTGCTCTTGCTCGTTCAGAAAACACCGTACGCACACAAAGCCAGTGAGTCTGTGTCGGCCGTGACCGGGGACCAGCCGTGGCCGGGTTGGAAGGAGCGGCCCGGCCCAGCTCCGGGGCGGGGGTTGGGCACGGCCCGCGGGGGGCACACGGGCAGGTGAGATGCCGCTCGGTTTATGCCGGGCCTGCCGTAGCTTGTGATTGCGGCCTTCCCTTCGTCTCTGTCCCTGCGTTTGCATTTTCCGTGGGTGGCACACACTCTACTTCTCTTGCTGTCCAGCCCTGGGCCCTTAGGGAATTGTTGTTGATGAGGACGAGCGCTCTGAAGTTCTGGGACCCCGCACCATGCATGCCACTGTCCTTGCCTCAGGGACGCCCTTGCCAACTGGACTGGTGGGCCGACGCTCCCACACCCAAGCGCTCACGGTTCCATCAGGGTACACAACCCAGCGAGATGTCCGGTTGGAAAGCCGGCCTCAGGAGCCGAAGCCACTGTCCCTGGTCCTGCAAGTGGGAATCAGTGGAAAGGATTCGAACCTGCGGCTGAGCCACTCCAAATCCTGCTCTCCAGGCCACCTGGCCTGCTGCCCCCATGCCTTCCTTACCAGGTCCTTCTCCATGGGGACTGCAGCCGGCGATCCCCTTCAGCTCCCAACCCCAAACCTCCCGCCCCAGTTGCTTTGCCAAGCGCAGTGCGGGTGGGAGCTCAGATGTGGGGTTGCTGGGTGGAGGAGGCGCCCTGGATGTGGGTCTGGGAACTCTAGCCCTGGTGCGTCCCCTAGGCTCCCGCCATGACTGGTGTGTGCCGTTCCCGGCGTCCTCCATGGACAGGACAGCTTCCACGGGGGCAGGTCTGTGCCGGGGAAGGCGGTGAGTGTGTGCATGCAAGTGTGCCTGCGTGTGTTTGTGCTCTGTTTTTGCTGACTCAAGACCAGCATATTTCCAGTCACGATCATCTGCGCTGGATCCTCTGGGCGGGTCATGAGTGGCCAAGGTGAGCTGGGGGTGCTGGTGGCGTCTGGACCAGCGGGCCGGCGGGGCTGAGGCTTCCCAGGGCTGGAGTGCGCGTCTCTGCCGGCAGCCAGAAGCCAGAGTTTGCTGCGGTGACTTCTAAGACCCTACAGGCTCAGCGTTCTTCTCTTCTCTTCTCTAGTTCCTGTGCTTGAAGAACATCCGCACCTTCCTTAAAGTCTGCCATGATAAATTTGGACTGAGAAACAGTGAGCTGTTTGACCCCTTTGACCTCTTCGATGTCCGAGACTTTGGGAAGGTGAGTGGTCTTCTCCAGTGTCTGGGCGCAGTGGCCGAGCGCCGGCTCAGTGCGGGGTGGGGTTGGGGGGCTGGACGGGACAGGCCTGGCCCCTCCAACACGGCGCTGTGAGGGCCTTCCCACCCCTGTGTCCTGCACGGGCAGGCTGGGATGGGGACCATTATGTCTTCTGATGGATGGAGGCTGAGGGTGTGAAGGAAGAGCTGGTTCTGTGCTGCCTGCCACCCCGGGGGGTCCCCAGTCTCCGTGCACTCTCCAAGGATGGCACCACGCCCCTGCTCCCCACCCCCGCCCGGGGCTGTTGGCATAGGCTCGGCCAGACAGCCGCTTCCCGGACTGCCCGAGGAGCCCATTTCCACCTGCTGATGGGAAACATCAGAAGATATTTATTGCTTAATTTATCGGAGAAGCATTATCGGGGACTGGGTGTTTGAGGAAATGTGTTGTGAATACATGATTTATGAAATGCAGGGAGACTTCTGTATTTGCTTTTGCAAGTGCGGAGAAGTCCGTTCCAGCGCTAGGATTACCATCAGTAGCCAGGACTTCCCCATGAGCCACCTGGCCTGATGGGACTCTCCCTGGGTTCTGGAATTCGCTAGAAAGGAGATTCAGGGACCCCCTCAAGAGCCCATCCCTGTGTGATCGCCACTTCTTACCAGTTTCTATTTCCCCTGGAAAGGCTCACTCGAGTCCCTGCTGCTGGGGTGCCCCTGCCTGGGGCCCCAGGCTGCCCTGCTTCCCTGTGCCCGGGGCACGTGTGCTGGGGCAGGAGTGCCGAGGGTGGGATGGGGTCATGCTGGTGTCCTTTCCCGTCAATGGGCTTCTCAGTTCCCCGGGGTTGCTTTCAGAGGGTTGGAGCTCCTCTCCTGTTCTTGTTCCTCCTTGTGCACGGCAGTGCCCTGGGCAGGGAATGCACGCATACACGTACATATATGCTCACGCACAGAACTGCTATTTACAATAACCGTGTAGCGAAAAAGGATACACCCTGGCCAAATTTATTTCTTGGCCGGCGGTTAAAATGCAGATGATCCAGTCTATAATTTCATTTTAGTTTTGATTTGTTACCGCTGAATGCAGTGATGTAAGTAAGACGTACATAAATTTAGATCAGACTCTCATTGTACGACCCACCAACCGTGTGGTCACGCAGTTTGCAAGGGGGTGCCCCTCTTGCTCATCAGAGGTTCCAGTGAGGCGGCTTGGCTCCAGGGTGGTGTCCCAGCTGTGTGCAGAGGGGCTGCGAGGAGGCTGTGCTGGAGCTGGCCTCTGGTCTGCCCACATCGAATTGGTGATGCTTTGCCATGCCATGGCCTCTGCTGTGGAAGGCAGGAGTGGGCAGTGGATTTGGACCAGGAGTCGCGGTGGGGCGTTGCCGGGTGACGCCTCGGACCTGGTCGCTGAGCTGTGTGCAGGGACGTCGGTTCATGCCTTGCACCGAGGACCCTTGGCTCCGGGAAGGGCAGGGCTCGGGGAGAGCTCCCCCCATCCCGCCTCTGCTCTCCACGTTGTGACCCTTGAGTCAGACTCCTTGAAAATCTGGCCCTGCTAACTGGCTGGATGACTTGGCAGGTGACCCGGTGCCTCTGACCTCTGTTTGCCTGGCTGTGGGAGGTGGCAAGGCGTCCAGCCCCTCAGTAGGTACTCCTGAAATGCCGAGCATTTGTCGCTGTCCCCCCACCCCAGGTTTGGCCAAAACGGAACTAGACCCTCGTAGATCTGTGGCCTCTGATTTTTTTCCCTCTATTATTTTACTCATAAGCTGCACCTTTGGAAGACAGAACCAGAGAGCTAAGCACATGGACTGCGGACCCTTGCAGGCTGGGTTCGAGTCCAGCGAGCAGCCATGCCCAAGTGCCTGGCTCAGTTTCTCCAAATCCTACTTGTAAAATGGTGGTAAGAACACCACCCTCGGAGGTCTGCTGAGCAGGAAGTAGAATTGTGTTTCTGGAGTGCTTAGTCCCTGGCACACGTCCCAGGAAGCTCACCCTTGTTCTTTGCCTCCCTTCTCCTTGGTCCTTTGGCATCTTGTTGGCTGCGTGGAAGCCATGTGGGGCTCCAGCAGAGCCTGGCCTGCCCCCTCTCCTGCCCTGTCCATCCTCCCCGTCTGTCTGGCTGAGTGTCCTTCTCGTTCAGCTCCTCCTGCCCCGCACGTGATTCTTATCGAGGTAAACCTGTGGTTAGCATTTCCAAGCTGGGGGCCAGCCGAGGTTTGGGGCACTGGGACGTGCTCTCCCCGTAGGGGCCACTGTTCCAATCTGTTTGCTTGGCTAATCCTTCCTGATGTCCAGGGACGGGATACCCTGGAAAAACCAACACAAGCAAAGCCCCAGCGCCCATGGCCTGCTTTGCTTGGTACCCAGACGGACAGGACTCTCCCACCCCTGGAGGGTGGTGCTGGGCAGGGTGCAGCAGCGGACAGGAGGGCTTGCTGATGGCAGACTGCTGAGAAGGAGCACGTCTGGTCTTTATTCAGGTGTTACCTCCTGAGATGGGCCTGGCAAGGAGGTCCCTGTGCGTAGCTCCATCTGGGCACAGAGACAGAGCATGGGTTCTGTGCATCACTTCAGGGATGTTCACGGAGGTTTCCCGTGGGCCCGAATTCGCCTTCTGGCCTCCAGGAGCCCAGTCAGCAAGGCCTGGCAGTTCCAGATGGGCCTGGTGGCCCTCACTGACGTCAGACCATGAAGATGTGACTGCTCGCTCTGCCCTCCCGCTGACCCCCGCTGCTGCCCTGGAGCGCTGAGTCCCAGTTGGCAGGAAGGCAGCATCCTTCCCAATACTGAGCACAGCGCTCTGTAGGGTCAGCACTGACCCTTTGTCTCCAGGCCAGGCAGGCAAAAGGAGTGATGTCTAGACCCAAGTCTGGTTGCTGCTGCCCGGAACCTGCCTGGAGCCTGTGTGGAGGGGGGTGCTGACACTTACTCTGGGGGAAGGGTTTGGGACTGGCTGGCGGGAGGCTGCCCGGGGTGGGTGTGCGGGGCCGGGGCCCGGAGAGGCAGGTTTCCGTCTCACTTCTTGATGGTTGTCTTCCACATACAGTCACGGCATTCTGGAGTGCAAAGGATCCTTATGGAATAGCTGGTTAGTTAGTCTCAGGCTGCTTTAGAAATTTCCAATTTTTTGGGGGGGGCGTGTTATTTAAGAAGGTTTGATTGCGTTCAGATCCGGTCTCTGTCCTGGTTTCCTTGTTCTTTTTCTAAGCACCTGCTTTTCAGCTTCCTGTCTCCTGTGTTGCTGGAGTCACTCCTTGGGGAGAAAAGGCATTGGTGCATTCATTCATTCCTCCGTCCACCCACCCACCCATTCATACACCCATGCACACATCTGCCTACCCAGCCACCCACCCATCTACCTACCCACCTGCCCAGCCATGCATCCATCTACCTCCCTACCCACCCAAGCCACACATCCATCTACCTATCCACGCACCCATCTACCTATCCACCCACTCAGCCACGCATCCATCTACCCACCCGCCCAGCCACCCACCCATCTACCCCTGCATCCATCTATCCAGCCACCCACCCATCTACCTACCCACCTGCCCAGCCATGCATCCATCTACCTCCCTACCCACCCACCCAGCCACCCACCCATCTACCTATCCACCCACTCAGCCATGCATCCATCTACCCACCTGCCCAGCCACCCACCCATCTACCTATCCACCCGCCCAGCCACACATTCATCTACGCCTACCCAGCCACCCACCCAGCCACCCACGCATCTACCTATCTACGCACTCAGCCCACTCAGCCATGCTTCCATCTACTCACCCGCCCAGTCATGCATCCATCTACCCACTCACCTACCCATCTACCTATCCACCCACCCAGCCACGCATCCGTCTACCCACCTACCCAGCCACCCACCCAGCCACCCACCCATCTGCCTATCTACCCACTCAGCCATGCATCCATCTACCCACCCGCCCAGCCACCCATTCATCTACCTACTCACCCATCTACCTGTCTACCCACTCAGCCACACAACCATCTGTCCACGCGCCCAGCCACACATCCATCTACCCACCCGCCCAGCCATTAAGCACTTAATTTACCATGCATTTTGAAGCACTCACTAGGCTAGAGATAAAAGGGAGAGAAAGACTTGCATGGCTTTTGCTCTCCAAGGGGAGGCCCACATTAGCTCCTGTGTCATTAATTGTAGAAGAAAGGAGAGAGTGGAAACCCTAGAACTTTCCCAGAGGCTGCCCGGCTCTGACCCACCTCTCAGCCATGACACTGGAGGTTTTCCTCTGTGAGTTCGTTGTGCGGAGGATCTGGCACACTGAAAGCATGGCTTGTGTTCTTAAGGGAAAGGCTAAGGCCCCCTCCCCGGGGATACCGCTGTGGAGAGCTGGGCTGATTGCCACATTCTTCCTGTGTACAGACCGGCCTGACCCCCGGCCCTTGGGCATCTCCTTGGGCCTTTCTGCTGGGGGAAGAGTGGGCCGAGCAGGGCAGGTGCAGAGGGAGCTGGTGTTTGGGGGCCCACGAAGCTTCAGAAGGTGTTTACTTAACCGGGTTCTCTGCTCCCTGGTGAGACCCTGGGCAGAGGCCTTGGGGCAGTGGACAGGTGGACCCCTGGAGGCCCTCGAGGGCTGCGGGAGCCCTGGGTGCGGCCAGCCACTGAAGGAACGAGCCCCGCTCACCAGAGGAAGCCGGCCAGGTGCTTTCTTTCTAGAGCCTTCTCTCGTGTGGGTCCTGCTGGAGCAAGGTGTGGAGGTGGCCGGCTGGAGAGAGAGGGGCTTAGCAAAGCAGACTTTGCAAAGACTTGGGCTCCTCGAGCTTTCCTTTCTGCAGGGACGAGATGAAGACAGTGTGGGCCCTCACGTGGCACATGAGGTCTCAGCAAGGATGTGAAGCTTGGGTCCCGGTCGGGTTTACTAGTGGTTTCTTCCTCTTCCTGCACCTCCTCCCTCCCACCCCCCAGCAGCCTCCATCCAGCAGGAGCTGGAGGATCTGGAAAATTGGTTCTGGAAGTCGTTCCTT